TTTAATGGAATAAAATATTTCACTAAATTTTAATGAAATAAATTTATTTCATGAAAATTATTTTAGGATTCGTACATATCCTTGATTAATCTGAAAATAAGATTGATGATAATCCTATCATATTATAGGTTAATGCATGGTTCTTGAATAATAAAACCATTCTCTACTTAAAATATTTCCATTCCCTCTATTCTGCTTGTATATCAATAATAATAATTTTTATTTAAGGTTCATTGTATATAATTAAAGAACTCCTAGTCCTTGTGTAATATACATGTTTTTTTATTTAAGTAAAATTTAAATCAAAACAAAAACATAACACATTAAAATGTAAAACCAATTGTATGTACAATTAAATTGAAAGATCATTTAAAATATGAAAAAGTAGCACATATCATTATCCGAGAGAAGTAAGGTACATAATTAAGTTATTCACTCCTACAAAACAAAATAAGGTTTCTAGTACTTTTAAGATTGACATGGTTTTTTTTTTTTCAGTGTGGGATATTCTTTTATTATACTTTCATCCGCTTTAGGACACATGACTTTATCTTGTTTAACACATTATTTTTTGTTAGTTTTTTAAAAACTTATATGTTAATTATCAATCGTTTTCAATTTTTATTTGTCAAGTTAAATTTATTTCATTCTTCCTGAATTTAATTTTTCAATACGTTTAACATAATTAATTTTAAATTTCTCCTTTTACATAAAAATATATTTTTCTCCCCACAAATCGTAACCGTTTATATTTTCAAATTAGTTTATTTCGAGTTTTTATTTTACGTTAAAATTTATTCATTTTTTCTAAATCTCTTTTACTTTACTTTTCTATATTAACTTAGAGCACTTTATCGGGAGAATAATTTAATCTTTTAATTTACTTTCCCTTAAAAAATGATATATGTCATTTTTAAACTTTTTGTTTTAAATTTCAAAATAATTATACATATTCAAATTATGTTTTTAAATATTTGATATTTTAATTTTAATTTTTTGGATTTTACCTGTATTAATTATGCATGCATTTTTCATATTAAATTTTATAATTTTTTTAATTTAAGTTTTTAAAATTCAATTAAATATAAATACCCGTACAATGTATAAGACACTTATTAATTCTTAAATAAAGATATTTTTATCTAACCAATAAAATTATATAGATTTAGACTGATTTTTATGTTTAAAAACACTTTTTTTTACACAAAGGCCTAAAACAGCATCCTGAACTCTTTTTCTTAACATCAAAACAATTCATTATTATTTAATCTGACAAAGGATCTGATCATTTTATATGAAAAAAAAAACATGATATGAGCATTATCTGAGAAACTATAATCATATAAAGGTAAATCAATGATAATAAAAGAAGAGGGAGAAAAGATTGAAATAAATAGATATAAAAGCATAACCGTTAATTTAACTTTGTATGATTGTAATATTTTTACATGATTATGTCGTATGTTTTTTTACATGAGAGGATTCATGTGAAAAAACTTAAAATAATCAAGCTGTTAATATAAAATGATTATAATCAAGCCATTATAAATTAATCTAGTGACGAGATTTGGGTTACTTATATTAGGTTATATATTCGTGTAAAAATATATATTATAATCAATGTAATACACTATTTTTACGTCCGAAAATAATAATTTTCGACGGTGGCAGTGTATTCCTCCTGGGATGCGAATCCAAACCTCGATTTTGCCACCTGCATTTGCGAGGCCGGGTCTCCTCATCGCATTAATCCTCTTAATTAATTGTTTGCTCCTAATCCCCTAACTAATTTATAATAATTCAATATGTTAGTTGTCAGTGTGATAATATTGTTTAAGTCGATCCCCATAATATTCGTTATCTCTATTTCAGGAAGCTGCGGATCCTCATATATTTCCGAAAATGAACAAATTGACCATCCATTTTCTAATGCTAATCAAAGACCTATGTGATAACCAAAAAAGTTTGATATTCACGTTTGAGTAATCTCTATCAACAATGTCAAAAAATAAAAATAAAAATAGTTTCTCTCATTATTTTATGTTAGATGTATCTATGTTTAGGTTTATCAGCTTCGTTCCAATCCATATACGTTTGCTTACTATTTAATTTGAAGAGATAACGAAGAAGGAGAAATGACGAGCGAACGTAATTTCCATAAAATTTTCTATCCTTGAAGAGGAAGGAATGATACCGCAGTACTATCTAGAGTAATAAACTGTGCATGAGATGAGATAAAAACAACTGATAATTATGAATATAAAAAACGTTAATTTAAATTTTCTTCAGAAGAAAATATGCTTAACTTTGTAATTTACTTGACATTTTAAAAAAATAAATAAATTATTAGTGACACGTGATATAAAGTCCGCAAGGAAACAAATTTATTTTATAAGATATTATTAAAATAAGTTTTCCTTACCTTTAAAAGTTTGAAATCACGTGACATGATCTGAAAGTGAGGTCATTTTGCTTCATTACCACTTAAATTCTCATTTTTTTTTCTATAAATAATTAAAAAAGTTGCTGCTATTAAAATTTGTGTTTATTATTTTCACCTAACAAAGGTCAGGTACTTAAAAATGTTAAAATTGACATTTTAAATCTTTTAAACTATATTTTTTCACTGAATTCAATATTTTTCCTCTTCTTTATATCCTTTTTATTGTGTATTAAATTAAGCTACAAACCAAATCCAAAAGTTTTCAAATTTGACCTATTTAGTAGTCATTGTTACCCATTCAACCCTTTGTATGCACATTCATTCTTATCCTCTATTCTTCTTAAGTATTTTTAATTTATCCACGTATCTGTACTGTGGCTCTTCTATTTTCACGGAATTGTCACATTATCATTTTTTTCCTCCCTTGAATAGATATTTATTTGAGGAAAATTCGTTATGCCCAATTTAAATGGGGAAGAATACTTTTAAAGATATATCTCCAGGGGGAAAGAAAGGGATCCATATATGTCAAATTTGGTCTTCATTCTCCACCATGTAAAGATTGAATCAAAATTGAAGGGGGAAAGTTCCAGCTATTCATGTGATCATCAATAATCTCACATACACATAAACGTCTTTCTCACACACCGAGATATTTATTCATCTTCCTTTTTTCTATCAAAATAATTACCCTCAATCCCCACCACCCTCTTAAATAAATCAGCAAATGTGAACACTATGGACAATATTAGCGCAATGGCTTGGTGTCCGAGTCTAATCATATTCACGTTTTGTTACCTAATTATAACTTTTAACGTAACTAAAGGTATCGAAATCTTGTTATCAAAAAAAAAAAAAAAAAAAAGGTATCGAAATCTCGTTCGGCTTTTAAGGAAATCGGATTTCTTAAGAAGGTCAGAATTGACTTTTCAGAACGAGCTTATCCAAATGCGTGGCGTGGGTACCTTGAATATGCCACTTCATTCCTTCACATTTTGTAGTTTTTCAAACGATATTTATTATTTTACAATCTTTCTGCCTTCTGGGCTTTTTTTTATGGACTTTATTATTCTCCTTCAATATAAGATAGGTATCTTATGTTGTAGAGAGAAAATGAGTGAGTCCCACCATTATAAAAAAAAAGAAAAAGGTGAGATGCAGAAATTGAAGTGAGAGAGTAGGAGATAAGTAATCTTATGTAAAAGGAGACTAATATTTCTTTTTTTTATTGTTATAATAGTGAGTGGAGTTGAGTCGTTGTGGGATCATAGAACTTTTGATTGGGAAAGAGGGTGGTGGTGGTGGGTCTCTTTCAAATTGGAATCGCGCCTTCAGACTTGGGAGAGTACTACTCGAATGGTAATTTCAGTATGCATCATTTTTTCTTCTTTTAAAATATGAAAGTATATGTTACATAAAAGAAATCGTTTTTGTAAATAATAGGTGCATTTGAACACACATAGTGATGATTTTTATTTATTTATATTTTTAAGAAAAAAAAATTGATTCAAAAGCTTTATCATTAACTCAAAATACCATAAAATGCCACCTATCAGATGTGATGGACTTTCTTTCCTTTTAAGGTTTAGCATGAACACATGATTCTAATAAGCAATTTATGATAGTAATAAAGAAAAAAATTGGTTTTGGGGAGACCCATCAAATCTGATTAAATAGTCAAGAGATCAAACCTGGCCCCCAATCTATGATTCATGTGCTAATGCTCCTGCCTCCTAAACCGCAAGCCCTTAACCAATTCGCCAATCGCCATCGCACTGTTACATCGTTACAACTTCAAACCAAACGCATGTTACACATCAACAAATAATAATAAAATGTTAGGTTAGGAAAGGGTAAAGAAAGAAAATTCAGTTACATAGTTACGACTTACACTCATGTTGCACATTAATAGAAAAAAACAAAACCATTAAGTGTGAGAAAGAGAAAGAGAAATAGAAATAGAACTCCTAGTTACATTCTCGCAACTTACAAACACAAAGAAAAAAGAAAAAAAAACTGTTAGGTTGGAGATTATAGAAGGAGAAAGAGAAAGAGGCCTTAATTATTTTTAATTTTTTTGGTAGGATATTGTAATAATTAATTAGTATTACTATCAATCAATTTCACTATTAGATCGATTATGTTGATCAAACGATTATATTTATTTTTATCTTTGTATGATTATGATTCTTCATATTTAATTTGAAAGCATTAAATATGAGAAATCATACGCATACAAAAGTAAAAATAAATATAAAATATCAAATATGGAGAATGGTAACCATATAAAGATGAAAATAAATATAACTATTGGATCAACATAATCGATCTAACGATGAAATTAATTGAGTAATAATAGTAATTGGTTGACAGAGTATCTCCCTCTTAATTTTTTACCAAAAAAATTTGTTTTACTTTGGATTATTTTCAAAATCTGCTTATATGTTCCGTAATCCATATAATAAATTATAATTAAACCCATTTCCTCATATTCTCTCCTTCACAATAAAAGCAACACTTTTGTTTCACGTGAAACTGCGAAACGCATCGTCGTTCGATGGTGAAGGTGGTGATGGAGGACAACGAGAGCCACGGCAGCGGAGTGCAGCACCATTCGTCGTCGCCGGCGCAAAACCGGCAACAGCGGCAGAAAGTGGAAGTGTACAATGAGATTCTTCGCCGGCTTAAGGATTCCGGCAACGAAGAGGCTATGCAGCCAGGCTTCAACGATCAGCTTTGGGCTCACTTCAACCGCCTTCCTACACGGTCCTTTCCTTGCATTTTCCATTCTCTCTTCTCTCATGTCTTCGCCTACATATTTATATGCTATGCACTCATTGTTATTCTTCAAACTTTTATATATACATATTTATTCTCTCTTTCTCTCTCTGTGTGTATATGTGTATATATATATCTCTTTTCCTCATCATTTTATCAGAATCTTTTTTTTCTTTCTTTACATGACCCTGTTTATTTGAGGTTTTGGAAGTCGATTTATTTCGTTTGAAGCGTGAATATGTGGAAGAGAATGAACAGTGGTTGGTTTTTTGTTTTTACCTGTTTTTTGTACTTATCTTGAATCCATGTGTTTGGAAGATATTGATTTCTGTTCTGTTGATGTGATGTGGCTGATTAGGTCTGCAACTTTTTTTGTGTGTGTGTGTGTGTGGTTTTGGAGAGAGATTTGAGAATATACTGTAATGCAGGTATGCACTTGATGTGAATGTGGAAAGGGCGGCAGATGTTCTTATGCACAAGAGATTACTTCGTTTGGCACATGATCCTGCTAATAGGCCTTCAATTGAAGTTCGCTTAGTTCAGGTGACCTAACCCTTGTTCATTATAGGCTTAACTGCTGTGTTTTTCATGCTATTAATTCATATCCTTTCAGTTTCACTTCTTAGTGCTTTCGTGTGGTGCAGCATTGTTGTTTTGCTGTGCTATTTTGACTGCTCAATTGTCATTCACAAGTGGTTCATTTCATTGGGATGACTATATAAATTGAATATGTTGCAATCGGGCATTGCATATCATCCATATATTCTTTAATAAACAGAATATGTTATTAAGATCAAGCATTCGAAATGTAATGGTTATTTTGTGAATTATTTATAACTCATAAAAATAGTTTATCTGTCTGTGTCTGGACTCTGGAGCAAACCAAATTCACTACCCTTTTTTTTTACATGCTGCTGTAAAACAAATTCAAATATAGTCATTGAAGCAATATACTTAACACAATTCACTACCTTGCTGAACTACAACCATACCATCTTTTTACAATATAGATTTGTTGCTAGCACAGGTTGGCTTAGTGGCGTCTGCTTTGCTCTCCATCATAATGCTAATGCTTTGAGAAAGATTTTCTCCACTGTATTTTCCCGGATTAATTTAAATGTAATAATGTATCTAAAGGCAAATTTGTATAATTATAGCTGCTCCTCTGTGAGTTTGGATTTGAATCCAGGGACAGCTTATTTGCAAAATATGCAATGGTAAGCTGAGTGTCATGATTTCCCTCATCCCCACCCTAGCTAGTCAGGGTTTAATGGGGAGTGGTTTGAATTTTGATATCCAATCGTGTTTCTGCTTTATATTTGGTCTCAAGTTAACTTGATTACTTTGTGTATTTGGCATACTGTTGAGAAGCTGAAGAGAAAATCAAGAGTAATGATGGTTTCATATGTTCGGAAATTCAATTCAATTGTGAAATGATTGTTGGTTCCTGAAATTGCAACTGCTTCCAATTTAAAGATATGATGGGTAATGGGTTGGGTTTTTCGCCATGAGCACAATTTACAGTGACTTATGTATGATCTATGATGGAGGAGTACTCTAATCAGCATGGCTTAAATTTTTCATCACATCATTGATTGAAGAAATAGTGTATTTTTTGAATTTCAACATATTTTCATATAGAATCTAGGATGGTTCATTTGAGCAACTTTTTGTTCATATTTTGAGTAGTATGATTCATATCATTTACCTCATATAATACCTTTTTGGGATTGAAATCTTCGTGCAGGTTCATCCCATATCTGACGGAAACTCAGCTGATTCTTTCCAATCAGCTACTCCTGAGATAGAATCTGGTCAAAGCTCTTCAAAGTACTCAAGCAGACAGAGGTATTATTTTCTCATCTGTTATCTTGATTTCATACAATTCTAGCTAACTTTTTGGATGCTATTATCATAAAGCTCCAGTTACGGCTCTGTATAAAGCTACTGGTTATTCTATTTTAAAGTGCTTGATGCCCGTAATCTGCAATTCTGATTTATTTATTTATTTAATTTTTCATTTGTTAGTATACATCCACCTCCTGCTTTTGGTTCTTCTCCTAATCTTGAAGCACTAGCTCTCGACGCAAGTAATTCTGAAGGCATAAAGGAGGAACAATCTGTGCATGCCAATGTACAATATTCACGGTAAAACTTTGTTGCTTGCAAAATTTCTTTGAACAATGGCCTAGAATATATATTACTTATGCTTTGCTTTTCATATGGGGGTGAATCTGAAGATGTAACTCAGCTGGCATGTAATTGTAATAGTTGTAGCTTCTATAGATTTACTTTTAAATTATATGTTAGGGCAGAAGAGTATTTGGTTGGAAGAATAAAGAAAAGACAGAGTAGTTAGTTAGTTAGAGGGGAAGAGTTGGATGAATGAACAGGGGGAAGTAAGGGTTGGGAAATCATTCATGAATTGTATTTTGAGATAACCAAGCAAATGCTAGTTGAAAAAGGGGAAGCCTTGTAGGAGAGTCTATCTCCTTGTTTTGTTTAATTTCAGTCACTCAATAAAATCATCCTTTTCTTTTCTCCATTTCCACAGCGGGTTCCTAACAATTTAGCTATTTGCCTCTCTACTTGTATGATGTTTGGAGCCATTAATGCACCTAGAAGATTTATGAAGTTTCTAGTCCATTGTTTCAATTAAATTTTGATTTTTTTTTTTATATGCTGAACGTCTGTGTCAATGAAAATGATGCAGGCCTATGCATGAAATCACCTTCTCAACAGATGACAAGCCAAAGCTTCTCAGTCAGGTATAGGATAGCTTTTCTAATCAAAATATTGTGTATGTTATAACTATCTTATTGTTAAACAGGTAGCAGAAGTTTGAAGTGCATTACTCTCCGTCCTTATATTATTACATGTTGATGCTTGAGTCAGCATTTGACTCGGGCTGGAACATGCATTTAAGTCTAGCTTATACATAACCACCATACTTAGATAAATTTATTTACGACTAACTTAGAACCCTGCATGATAATGACAGCATCTCAAAGGTCTGGTTCCTTATGCAGTTAACAGCTTTACTTGCTGAGATTGGACTGAACATCCAAGAGGCGCATGCCTTTTCCACAACTGATGGTTACTCATTAGATGTGTTTGTTGTCGAAGGATGGCCCTACGAGGTATGTTGATAATTTGCTATCAGTTTGTTGGGATGGATGCATAATATTATGAAAATTGAGCAGTTTCAATCAAAGAATAATGTTATTGACCCTTATGTTTATTTTGAAAAACATACTTGTAGAATCCACATTCATCTATAACCATGTTATAGGCTTATAGCAGCACCAGCTTATCAACCATACTGGCTCAAAGCTGCTGCTTTCATATTCTAGAATACTTTATTATGTTACGATTTGCCATAACCTTCAATCTCTTTAATACTGTTTAAGATTATTAATGGTTTAGTTCATGGGGCACGGCTTGACTGCTTGGTATTAAAACAGGAAACGGAGAAGCTTAAAGCAACTTTGGAAAAAGAAGTATCGAAGATTGAGGTAAACCAGGCACCTTGCTGTGTTTGTAGATGACTGCTAGAAGTTAATTTGACTAATGTTCAGCAATTGTACTTTTATTTGTCCACTGCTTTCAGAGGCAGGTGACGTCTGGTCAGCAATCAGCATCTTCTGTCGAGAAGCTTGATCAAGCAGTGGTCAAATGTGAACCAGATCATTTGACAATACCTAATGACGGGATAGATGTTTGGGAAATAGACCCTAAACATTTGAAATATGGAACTCAAATTGCATCTGGATCATATGGTGAACTGTGAGTACATAGTATCCAGAAATGTGCATTTCTTTTTGTTAGTTCAATAGATGATCTCACTAGGTGAAGATATTATTTCAATTTTCAATTAACCAGTGCTTTTAAATTCAGATTTAAAGGTGTATATTGTAGCCAGGAAGTAGCCATCAAAGTTCTCAAGGCTGAGCATGTAAATTCAGAATTGCAGAGAGAGTTCGCGCAGGAAGTCTATATCATGAGGTTCGTTATACTTCTATAAAATTTTCACATTTTGACCATCCGAAGTCTACCTACCTGTAGAAAATCAGAATTCAAATTCAAATATTTTTCCGTTTTTATTTCCTATTAATTAGGAATAATTAAGATTAATTAGGATTGATTGTTTTTTTATTTCCTATTAATTAGGATTAATTGTAATTGATTAGAATTAATTGTGATTAGGTTTAGTGAGTCATAGCTGAGTCATTCTTATGATTGTGATTAGGTTTGGTGAGTCATAGCTTAGTCATGCTTAGCTATTTTTCCTTGTATAAATACTCCTCATTCCTCATGTAATTATTCAAATCAATATACTGAAAACCTTTTTCAATATGGTATCAGAGCTGGTTGGTCCTGAGAAAACTCAAGCCACCACAACCACCGTCAAACCAGCGGCACAACGCCGGAAAACTCAACCTCCAACCATTATTAAGGTTATTTTCCCTTCCTACAAAGTCCCAAGAGCAAAGTAAGGCTACCAATCACTGTAGAAGGCAAAATCCCAGCTTTCCACCGCCGTCAGCCACCGTCGGAAAATTTTTCTGGCGACATTCCGGCCAAGATCCGCACCATTCGAAACAGAAGGAGCCGATCTACAAGTTTCAAGAAGGACCATCGGATTCTGCTGAGCCACGCACCCCCACGCGCTAGAGAAAGGACGGAGCGTCCGCCCTACGCGTTACCACACGCAGCCATGTTGATTGAAAGTAAATTTCCATCCAGCAATGTTGCTCAACAAGGTATAGCGTTCCATGTTGATAATAGTAGTCGATGGATTCTTGATTCAGGGGCTTCAGATCATATGACAGGTAATGCAACCTTATTTTGTTCTTATACCCCTTACTATCAACAATCACGAATAAGAACAGCAGATGGAAAAGGATCCATTAAACTTTCTGAACACATTACTTTGAACTCAGTCCTTCATGTTCCCTCTCTTACTTGTAACCATATCTCTATCAGCAAACTTACGTCTAAGTTACATTGTGTTGCCAAGTTTTCTGTCAATGCTTGTGTTTCCCAGGAACAGGACTCGGGGCTGATGATTGGCAGTGCTAGAGAGGAAGAAGGACTTTATTATTTAGAAAAAGATTCTTGTGAAGGAAAATTTTTTGTGAACCACTCGGTATGTTTGTCTGATGATTGTAATGATGTTTTGTTGTGGCATCGTCGGTTAGGACACCCAAATTTCATTTATCTTCAGAAGTTGTTCCCAAGCTTATTTATCGATAAAAATCCCAGTTCTTTTTCTTGTGATATTTGTCAGCTTGCAAAACATTCTCGTGTTTCTTATCCTCCTAGAGTCCATCATGATTCTTCTCCATTTACCTTGATTCATAGTGATATATGGGGTCCAGCCCGTGAAAAAAATATCTCTGGTGCTCGTTGGTTTATAACTTTCATAGATGATCACTCTAGGGTATGTTGGGTATACCTTCTAAAGGATAAGTCTGACGCTGCATCCATTTTTAAAAACTTTCATGCTATGCTTCAAACTCAGTTCCAGACCTCTATCCAAATTCTTCGAACTGACAATGGTACTGAATATTTTAATTCTGTTCTTGGAAACTATCTCAGCCAGCATGGTATTCTTCATCAAAGTTCTTGTCCTAACACTCCTCAACAAAATGGGGTGGCTGAAAGAAAAAATAGACATCTCCTTGAAGTTGCTCGAGCTCTTATGTTTACCATGCATGTCCCTAAATATTTGTGGGGGGAAGCTGTCTTGACTGCAGCATACCTCATCAATCGGATGCCTTCTCGTGTCCTAAATTTTCAATCTCCTTTATCTTGTCTTACCCACACCTTTCCTTCTTTTCGGGCTCATTTTTCCCTTCCTCCCAAGTTGTTTGGCTGTGTGGCTTTTGTACATGTTCCTTCCCATCAAAGGTCCAAGCTCGATCCTAAGTCCATTAAATGTGTCTTCATAGGATATTCTCCTAACCAAAAGGGCTACAAGTGTTACTCATCTTCACTTCGTAAGGTCTTTGTTTCTATGGATGTCACATTTGATGAGAGACAATCTTTTTTTCCTTCGACTTCTCTTCAGGGGGAGTCTATTGGGGTTGATGAAGATAAGTCTTGGAAACCAAATGATTCTGTTGTTTTGCCTTTGCCGTTGGAGACAGGGGGAGTCATTATGAAAAAGACAGGGGGAGTTAATGTGTCAGATAATGGAGATCCTCCCGGGAAATGGGAAAAGTTTTACAGCAGGCGAGAATCACCTCAGGAGCCTCTAGACTGCCAGGATTCTGACTCGAGTCTTAGTTCCAGCAACACTGATACAGCCAACCTAGATGTGCGTATTGCTCTCCGAAAAGGTACTAGATCTTGTACTGCTCATCCTGTTTCTCATCATATCACATATGAAAAGTTGTCCCCAGGTTTTCGTGCTTTCAACACTATGTTAGACAGTACAAAAAGACCAAAAAATATCCAAGAAGCACTTGATGATCCAAAATGGAGGAATGCAGTCTTTGAAGAAATGGAACTTGGGAGTCTGTAGCATTACCCAGAGGAAAGAAAACAGTAGGTTGCAAGTGAGTGTTTACAATAAAGTTTAATGCAGATAACAGCATCAACAAGTATAAGGCCAGACTGGTTGCTAAGGGATTCACTCAAACTCATGGGATAGACTATCAAGAGACATTTGCCCCTGTTGCCAAGCTTAACACTATCCGAGTTCTTTTATCACTTGCTGCAAATCTTGGTTGGCCCTTGCAACAATTAGATGTAAAGAATGCTTTCTTAAATGGTGATCTACATGAAGAAGTTTATATGGATCCACCACCTGGTTTTGAAAAAGGAGACGATTCAGTATGCAAGTTGAAAAAGTCTCTCTATGGTCTTAAACAATCTCCTAGAGAGTGGTTTGAGAAGTTTACTCAAGCTGTTAAGGGAAGAGGATTCCTCCAAGCTCAGACTGATCACACTTTATTTTTAAAACACTCTAATGGTGGTAAAATTGCTATTCTCATTGTTTATGTTGATGACATAATTGTCACAGGTAATGATTGTGAGGAGATAAGCTCTTTGAAGAAATGTTTAGCTAATCAGTTTGAACTAAAGGATCTTGGATCTCTCAAATATTTCCTAGGCATGGAAGTTGCTCGAAGTAAGGCAGGAATTTCTTTAACTCAGAAGAAATATATTCTAGACCTGTTACAAGAAACAGGAATGCTTGGGTGCAAGCCAGCAGAGACTCCAGTTGAACCCAATATTAAATTGGGAATCGAAGATGGGAAAGAAGTTGACAAAGAGCAGTATCAGAGATTGGTGGGGAAGTTGATCTACTTATCTCACACTCGGCCTGATATTGCATTTGCAGTTAGCATGGTTAGTCAATTCATGCATTCTCCTAAGGAAAAACACCTGAGTGCAATTTATAGAATTCTGAAGTACCTTAAAAAAAACCCTGGACAAGGATTGTTCTTTAAAAGGGGACACAAGAGGATGATTGAAATATATACAGATGCAGATTGGGCTGGCTCTGCATTGGACCGAAGATCCACTTCAGGATATTGCACCTATATTTGCAGAAATCTTGTGACCTGGAGAAGTAAGAAACAAACAGTTGTTGCCCGGAGCAGTGCAGAAGCAGAATTTCGGGCTCTAGCCCATGGTATTTGTGAAGGAATTTGGTTAAGAAGACTCCTTGAGGAATTGAAGATCTCTTTTTCCCTACCTGTCAGAGTGTATTGTGATAATAAGGCTGCTGTCAGTATTGCTCAAAATCCAGTTCACCATGACAGAACAAAACATGTGGAGGTTGATCGCCACTTTATCAAAGAAAAAATAGATGATGGAAGTGTATGTATGGTGTATATTCCTACCAAAGAGCAGATTGCAGATATTCTCACTAAGGGCCTACATCGGCCAGCCTTTGAAGACTTGATTGGCAAGTTGAGAATGATCAACATTTACCTCCCAACTTGAGGGGGAGTGTAGAAAATCAGAATTCAAATTCAAATATTTTTCCGTTTTTATTTCCTATTAATTAGGAATAATTAAGATTAATTATGATTGATTGTTTTTTTATTTCCTATTAATTAGGATTAATTGTAATTGATTAGAATTAATTGTGATTAGGTTTAGTGAGTCATAGCTGAATCATTCTTATGATTGTGATTAGGTTTGGTGAGTCATAGCTTAGTCATGCTTAGCTATTTTTCCTTGTATAAATACTCCTCATTCCTCATGTAATTATTCAAATCAATGTACTGAAAACCTTTTTCAATACTACCTGTTTATTAAGATATTGATTTTTAATGTCAGAACTCGATTATGAAAATTATTTAAATCCTAACTGTTGACCATTTCAAGAAGTCTGCTCATTATGATGGTATAACTCCTTTCACGTAGGACCAAGGTGAATGAACAACTAGAACATACAATTTTTGTAGCGAGTGTAAATTAAATAGTTGCGCATAACAATTCTTTTTTCCGATTTCATGATGATATCAAAGTGATGTTTTGTGCTTCTTGTATGCTAATTTTTCCCCGTTGTGGACACCACCACACGCACACACACCCCTTTAGACGTGAAGTTGAGTTTCACGGCAGCTCTCACCAATTTATCAACTCAAACACCCTATTTCTCTCAAATTTAGTGTCAACTCCCTTCTTGAATTTCGGCCTGCAATTTTGATTTTTTTGGTGACATACTGGACCTAAATTTTCACAGGATGAGTTTATTTTCAATTTTCCCCTCATGACATTTGGTAAAAGCAATAATTTTAGTCCAAATGTAAACAAGAAGGGGGAATCTTACACAAATGAAGAATATTAGAATTAACTTCGTATCTCTTGAATACGGAAGTTTTAGAAATTAGTTATTATAGACATACTGGACATGATGCACATGAGCACTTTACAAAAGTTATCGTACTTAACAGTTGCATTCTGATCCAGTTTCTTGGACTAGTCATCATTTGCCAAACTTTTAATGTGGTTGGGTTATTCACGAATTTTTTGGTCTTTCGTGATGGGAAAATGAGCAAATTGCAAATTGGTTATAGTGTTGTATTTTCGTTTTAAAAAAATTATGTATATAGCCATAAACCGTGTTAAACTCGCTGCTGGAAATTGCAGAAAGGTTCGACACAAGAATGTTGTACAATTCATTGGAGCATGTACCAAGCCCCCACGCCTATGCATAGTAACAGGTGAAATCCGGTGAATTACATCATGTAATAGAATAATTGAATAGATGTGATCTTAAATATTTAGCAATTGTCAACCCATTTGTAATGGTTGTTTCCTTTTCAAATTTCAGAGTTTATGTCTGGTGGAAGTGTGTATGACTACCTACATAAGCAGAAGGGTTCTTTTAAATTTCCTACCCTGCTCAAAGTTGCAATTGATGTTGCTAAAGGAATGAACTACTTGCACCAACACAACATAATCCACAGAGACCTGAAGGCTGCCAATCTTTTGATGGATGAAAATTGTGTACGGTTTTTTCCTTTAACTCTTTTTTAGACTGCGTATGGCTAAATAAAATGAATAACATAAACCAGGCATACAGAAGTGAAATTTGTGTATTGAAAGTTCGTATTTTTTTTCCATACTTCCATTGCAGATTGTAAAGGTCGCTGATTTTGGGGTTGCTAGAGTGAAAGCACAATCTGGAGTTATGACAGCAGAAACGGGAACATATCGATGGATGGCTCCTGAGGTATATAATCTTCTCATATTATTATCATTACGTTGTTCAAATTGTTTACTTGAAACATGATCTTGTTGGGCTTTCCAACAGCTTCATCTGTTACTTGTTATGTTCTCATACGGGTTTGTGCTTTCTAAAATTGGTTATTTCAACCACAATAAATGTTAGCGGTTTATATTGATTTGATGATTTTTAGTTAATCTTTTCGTTGTGGCAATTCATAACAAATAAAGTTATTGAAATTACTCATGATTCACTTTGGTAAGTGTCCAGTCATATGATCATATTGACTCTTGATAAGTATATTGCTTTCATCTTATCCTAGTGCTGACTTTGTGTTATTTTTTCCCCCTTCGACTCAATCTTACGCTAAATTATCAATATCATCAGTTTAAATTGTATTGATGGATTTGGTGTGAGGAAAATGATCACTGCTGCATTATATTTCAGAATAACCATGGTGGTTAATGGTAGAAAATGTGCAAAATTTATACACAATAAAATGTTTGTGTAACTCTTTTAATATCTATGGAGCTGTAGTGTGATAAATTGAAATGTTTATTGCTGTTTTTTCTTACTGGAAGACTTGAAGGTCTAACAAATCTATTAGCCCGCTGAAATATGCTTTTTATTAGCTTTCCTTTCTTGTTTAAATACTTTCTGGTGGCAAGATATTCTTATCATGATTCCTTTACGTTGAAGGTTATAGAACACAAGCCGTATGATCACAAGGCTGATGTATTTAGTTTTGGAATTGTTTTATGGGAGTTGCTCACTGGAAAGGTATTTCTTGTTTGTACCACCTTATGACTAGTATAATAATAGGTTTGCCTCATGAAAATTATTGCGTTTTTCTTGCCAGCTTCCATACGAATATTTGACTCCTCTACAAGCAGCTATAGGAGTGGTTCAAAAGGTAACTTTTTTACTTTAGTTGGTAGAATAAACTGCCAGATAATTTCTCCTTGCTTCTGGAAACTTTGAGAAAGTGGTTTACGTGATTGACGGGAAAGACGTATGTTGTATAGATAGTGATTATTTGTTAATGCAAATGGTTTTCAGGGTCTACGACCCACCATCCCCAAGAACAGCCATCCAAAGTTTGTTGAGCTTCTTGAGAGGTCTTGGCAGCAAGATCCAACATTGAGACCTGATTTCTCTGAAATTATCGAGATCTTGCAGCAGTTAGCTAAAGAGGTATGGCAAAGTTACTTTGTGTGTGTGTATTTATATTTCCATCACTTTTCCTTCTTGTCAATGCTAAAGCTGCATTGTGTTTCACATGATATCATGGTTATCCCCTTCACATAAAACGGAGGGGCCGGGGGCGGGAGAGGTTAAGGGTTAAAGGCCTCATTTGAAAATCACTTAAACGCAACTTCCAGTGGTTAATATCATAAGTTTGTTATGAGCTATACTAGAATATAATATTTTTTTATCATAAAATGTATAACACTCATTATGTTTGTATAACAGGTTGGAGATGAAGGAGAGGAGCGGCGCAGGGATAAATGGGGAGGGTTTCTGTCTGTCCTCAGACAAGGTCATCATCACTAAGAGGTTATTTGAATAGATTGTGTTCATAACATGGTCATAGCTAGGAACAAGGGCCATTTCGCATTAAGTTTTTCGTTGACATGTACAGTTTTCTTCACGTTATCTAATTGCTTTTATAATAGATTTCGCACGATTTATGCATTTTGAAAATGATCAATTACCCATTTATCTTCGAGTTTTACGATGGCATTTTTCTTTTCTCTGTAAAAGGGAGGTGATGGTATAAATGAACAATGTAACATCAACAGTTCTCCTATTTCTTTTCAATAAAATGTTATTTATGTGAAGTTTAATATTTCTAGATTTGGTCAGTTTCTTAATGGATTTTTTAGTAATGGCATGTCATATGGTATTTCTAACATGCAGCTGGTTCGCCAAATGAGCTAAACTCAATGATCAGGCTTGTAAACCTCTTTAACGTAAGGTATAAAATAGTTCAGTTAGCAAAACCATCTTGAGCACGCTTAAAAATGAACAGATTCTGAATGCCATGCAGCAACAGGGGAGGAGATAGATAAATAAATTACTACGTGCATGGACCTATTATCATTGTGAGTCCACATATGCATATAAGGCAAATAAAATAGAGTTTGGTTAAGCTTAATCATTCAAATTTAATAGAGGTAACAAAGTCCAATGCTTTGAAATCATTAACTGGTTGCAGAATTATATACTAGTCGGCTCGTTGAAAGACAAAATTTCACTATTTGGGTAAATTTTTATTATTTAAACGTGTTTTTATATAATTAGAACAATTGAACTACTAATATAAAAAAAACTGCGATATATTTTGATAAAACTTTTTTTTTTTAATTGAAAGGATATATAACATTGGGTACTTGTGTAGTTTTGGATTTCTCTCGAAATTTGTTTATTTATATAAGTATTTTTCATTATTTGTTTGTTTGAAGTTTGAACTCATTGTCCTTTCGTCACGTCCAAGCAGTAACACATAATTGTTGATGTTGTGTTATGTTGGCAACTTTTTTTTATATAATTATGGAGCACGTGGTCTCATGCAGATTATGCAAGTCTCACTATTCATCATTAAACCAATTATATTAGTTATGTTACGTTCACAACTAAAAGTATAAAACTAATATTTAGAAAAGAACAATGCTACTTAATACAAGTATATTATACAAATTTGACCACAAATTCTGGTAGCTGTACTGTGTACAAAATAAAAAAGAGAAAATATTAATAGGGAAATCCAATTGTCATATAACAGGATGAATGCAAATCCCATATTAATAACCAATAAAGTCACGCTCTTCCTTTACATAATAAAATGCAACCTCTTCGTGAATATTGGGGAGCGTTTATCATGGCATACTCTTTGCCGTACATCCTTCTACTTGGTTGGTTCGCGAAATCATCGCCCTGGTTCACCTTGATGGGGAGGTCCCATGGAACCATGTTTTTCGAGAAGGAAACTCAGTTGTGGATGATTTGGTTAAGAATGTTCTCTGTCTAAATGCTGCTATAAAGTGCAGGAATGGAGTCTGAGTGGTCCATAAACAAATCAACGACTGAGAGTGAGATTATCTCATGTCCTTTTTGTCTCTTTTCAGTTCTACAGTCGTATATATTTTAGGGACCGTTTGGATGGGTTTTATGAAAGAAGTTATTTGATCAGACCAAATACAATATAGAGTGGTGAAAGTATATCGGACCTAATCACACACGGTTGATGTGGTGAGGATGCTCTTCTTCTTGGGCTTGAGGTTATTGATAATAGAATATGGACTTTGATCATTTGTTAGAGTGATCCTTGAGTCAGAATGTGAGGTACCTGCGATGACACTCCGATGTTTAAGTCAGTATCAGTTGCATGTGTAAGTATATTCTTAATGAATTAGATATCATACCTGGAGATGTACCTTCTGTTTATATAGTGGTTTTGTTGCCGCCCTCTGAAGACGGTATGGCCTCTGATTAGCCGTTTCTGAGCTGCAAGTTTGGCTAAAGCCTTAATAGCTTTATCGGCCAGTGCTAGGCTATCTTGATAGAGTAGTGGGCAAGCTGGTGCTGTCCTCTGATTATTAGTACAAAGACGCGGTGGTTTCGTCCTAGTTCTTAAGATAGCTTCCTTACTTCTAAAATTTTATGCCAAAGAGCGGTTTCATGCACGATGATGGCATCACGTCACGTTGTGCGCGATGGTGGCTATCGCGCTTAGTTCTGGGCCTACTATATTTTATCCAAATCAGCTTTACGTATAGTTAAAAATCTTAGTAATTTCTAGAATATGTTAGGAAATTATATTTTCTAATAATTATTGTGGGTCACATATTATATTAATAATTATATTGTGCTATTTATATATATTGGGTAAATTAAAGTGATCAGTTAAATATTCCCAAATAGATTTCTAGGTGAGTATGGGCTGATTGAGTGGATACCGGTGTTGGGCCAACTAGGTATAATGGGAGCTTATTGGCCCAACAATAAAGATAAAAATACTATAAAAAAGGGTTATGGTCCCCAATACGTCATATCAACAACCCTAGTTTCTCTTTCCCATCAAGAGAGAGACGGCACACTAAGGAATAAGGTTTTAGGGTGATTTGACTGAGGAAGACTACAAACCCCAAGAGACAAGATCAAAGTTATTCCGCTGCAATGGAGACAGGTATGCCTCCACCTTTATGTTGTTCTTATTTCTTTATAATTTGGTATGATGGATCTTGGCTTGTAGGTGATAGTTATCACCAAAAGCTTTAGAGGAATTAAAAAAAAATTCCAACAGAATATTCTGTGAGTTTTATAAGAAAATTTTCTGCTTGGTTACTATTCTCCAACTTTTATATCGATCATAACTTGTAAGAAATTTTTTTCCTAAGTTTTACGGAATACATTGTATTTTTTTTTATTACGTGCCTTTTCTGTAAAAGAAGTTTATATTTGTCTGTTTTCTCTCCATTTATGGTTTTATGGAATAATAACATTAACTTAGGAACAGTTGCTGAGAACTAATTAGCTATTGAATTATGATAATACAAGTTCATTGTCTCTCAGAGACACTGTTAGCGGAGAAGGCTTGGCCATTTGACATAAATCTTCCAATTGAATTGGGCTGAAAAACCATTTCTAATGGGCTTGTCTATTTTTCATTATACATCAACACTTTTAAGGTTATAACCTTTTAGGCACGTAGAATTGGGCTTATAGAAAAAGAAGCACTATTTATTAGTCTAAAATAATTAATACTTAATAGTGACTGATCAAGTCCATTGATAATTGAATGACTTTAATATAAGTATAACGTTTAAATTATTATACGACAAAACACCGCGTATAATATATAAATTTTGTGTATACAACTTCAAAAACATGGTAGTTTTTTTATAATCCGGTTAACGAAGCTTGGGGTATGTCTTATTTTATGTGCAAGTCATTATATTAAATCAATTACTGTGTTTGATCGACTATTTTCTTTATTGTCGAATTTTACTCCAATTAGACGCAAAATCAAATCAAAATGAACACTTGACCTTCTTGTCCGGACTCAAAGGTCATAAGTCAAAAGTCAGATTTTTGTCCCCTTTGGTTGTGAATCAGTTGATATTGATAATAATTAGAAAATGGATAAAATATTTTGGAATTTTCAATTGTCTCAATCTAAGCCTCAGGTGTGAACAGTGGGTGTGCGCACACCTACTGTACAAAAATTTCAACGCTATATGGTTAAACTAAACTAAATAATGTTTTGTTTTTTTTCGACCAATTTTCTTTAGTAAAATCATAAACTCTTTAATTTTTTGTTTTTTTTATGTGAAATTGATTTACACTACTTGGACAACAGTTTAACTCTTAACTAGAGAATTTTTTTAAGAATTTTGAAACTTGCACTATAGACAAAGACGTTCACATGAACTTTAAATTTGCTCATGGATGATAGTCGTGCTTCATGGTTTCTTGCTACTAGATAATTATATTTATGATTATAAAATGGACTTATTTATCTAAAAAATTAATAAGTAGTAAGAGTTTATAATTAGTCAAAGTTTAGTTATTGACTTACGTCATTTCATTCCATTTTTTTTTTTTTTTGTGTGTAAACGTCATTTCATCTTTTAACCTCGTCAGATAATTCTTTTAAATCAATTTTTTCTTTTAATATTAAATTATTTCTTCCATTAAATTATTAATGTACTGACACAGCTCATAGATAGTACATGGTCAAATTACACATTAATTAAAGAGATAAATATCCTAAAGATAGAATAAAAAAAAGAAAATGATGGTAGGAAACTTTGAAAGGGATACAAAAGAGGCGACAATGACGGCAAAAGGAGACACTTCCTTATTTGTGATTTGTGTGCCTGCACCATTGCCATTGACTTGAAAGCAAACCACTTACATCATCTTGATACACATGCACCTAAACAAATTAACGTGCCCATAATCTTTCAAAAAATAAAATTAATTAACGTGCCAATAAAACATGGAAGAAGAATTAACGTGCGCCCATAAAACATGGAAGAAGAATTAACATGCCCATGGCGTGGTCACAGATAAGACAGGTTCTGAATGCACTGTGTCCACGGCCCATGAGGATTGGAGGTTGATACGTAAGAGACAAGTAAATGCGTGCGTGCGTGGAACTATCAAAGTGGGTCTACTCCTACTACATATAAGAGCTATGGCAAATGAAATAAGGTTTTGTTAAACTCAAGCATGAGCAACCAACGCCTTTTGACTACATTAATAACAACGTATATAATATTTCGACTTTATTTCCCTCATTTAACGTTAGAGAAATTTTGTTTCTGTCACGTAGAAGAAATAGTGTAATCCACTTTATTGGGGGAAAAAAAAAAAAATCAGAATGAGAGTAGGAATTTTTTTTATCTTACGTGAAAAGAGAAAAATAAAGTTCATAATAATTTATTTTTCTCTTTTCATATTTGATTTACTTACTCATATTCAATATCATTTTTATTTTTTTATTTTTTTATAAGATTCTGATCCAATAATATTAAAGATTAATAAATAAAGTTGACATGAAAAAGATAGGTATAATATCTTATCCCTAATTATAATATCAAGAGAGAAATATTTTTTTCCTTGACTTAAAAGTTAGATAATTTGTCAAATAATGAAATGATATTTTTTTTATATGTATCTCACTAAATTACTTTGATAAATTATTTGAATTTTAAATAAATGAAGAAAAAATATATAGATGAAAAAGCCCAGAAATC